ATTCTGCTAAGATCCTGGGCACCCCCAAACAGGAGGTTCATCATACAATTATAACCAGGTTTCAAAACTTTAAACAAAAATAAACAAATTACTACGCACGACAGAAGCACAACCGCGGTTTTAAAATGGTTGGTGAAAAATAGGAAATCAAATTTCAGAGCCTGTTTCCTGTTCTTTTGTATTGATGGAGGTTGGCATTTAGCCATTGTTTTGACTTTTTGGTCTATTATAGAGGGGGGTTAAAGGCATTTAACACATGCCTATAAATTTAGGAGTTGTAATAAATGTTACGCAACGCGATGACTCACTAAATCATGACATGTACTATATGTCTTTAATACCTCTATTTCATGAAAAAATAAAGATACAATCGCTTACTTGATACAACCATTTCTTTTCTCTGTTGCTCCCCTAGCATAAAGTCAAAGCTTGTTTCAAGAGACTTTTAAGAGACTTTTCACTTCTTGATGAAATAAATGGATAAACAACTTAGTTAACTTATGTTATTTGGGACACATATGTGTAGTACGGGATTGCCCAAGGATTGCAAACTCGAAGGATCTTTTAAAGTGTTCCCCAACCCCCAAAACGCACCATTACATTCATGATTAATAAGGGTATAAAGCCCCTAAATTAGTACTTGGGAGAAGAACAACAAATTATCCAAACTTTCAGAGGAAAGCAAGTGCGACGGAGCTCATCACATTGTACTGGTGCCATCCGAGGGGCTAGTAAGAAGTGACATTGAGGCTCTGTATTAAAGGTATTACAAAGTTTTGGTAAATTTTGAAAATTGGCTGGATAGTGATTCTTTAAAATTTTGATATATCTGGATGCCCCTATGGATTTTTTATAAGCACTACAAAATTTAGCCCCTAAAACACTTCTGCTTCCGAGAAAAATTGAATATAAAAATTTGCCGGTGCTCCCGGTATATTTTGATAAATTTCAAATAGCGCCTACGATCATACGATGGTAGCTGCGACCATGAAAATCTCAGAATATGTAGTTGTGATATATATATATATTCCAAACGGTAATAGCAAATCAGTCGATTTTATTCAAAGAATATTGTTTTATAGCTCAATTAATATATTGACCTTGAGAGGGCGCTATACAACATAAAGAGTTTATTATTTATAATTTCATCACTTTAAGACTCAATTTCAACCGCGACAACGATCACTGAATATTGTAAGATCACCTATGCTTCCAATATGTTCATTTGAACCAAATTCATAACCCCATACCAAAACTTTGTATTACCTTTAAGGCTGTGCACAACCAAATACTAGAATATTCGGACGCCATGTTGTTGTTTTTAATTTTTAATCTAATTTTTTTTTTTTTTGCCACCACCATACGACGGGAGCAGTATCCCTGTATCGATAAAGAGAGAACTAGATCTCCTCCTAGTTTGCAGGCACAATCTCTTGTTCGTCGCTGAACGCTGTAACACTGTCTGCCCAGCGAGAATAGACCGACAGCGTACTGCATAAGCTCTGGGGCCCCGTTTCATGAAACTTTTGATCTATAATAACAAATTTGCTCTCAGCCAATCAGATGCCTGATTTCAGTAGCTTATAACAGTAGCTTGTAACTTATTATTGATATCAAGTTTGCTCTCAGCCAATCAGATGCCATGATTTCAGTAGCTTATAACAGTAGCTTGTAACTTATTATTGACATCAAGTTTGCTCTCAGCCAATCAGATGCCATGATTTCAGTAGCTTATAACAGTAGCTTGTAACTTATTATTGATATCAAGTTTGCTCTCAGCCAATCAGATGCCATGATTTCAGTAGCTTATAACAGTAGCTTGTAACTTATTATTGATATCAAGTTTGCTCTCAGCCAATCAGATGCCATGATTTCAGTAGCTTATAACAGTAGCTTGTAACTTATTATTGACATCAAGTTTGCTCTCAGCCAATCAGATGCCTGATTTCAGTAGCTTATAACAGTAGCTTGTAACTTATTATTGACATCAAGTTTGCTCTCAGCCAATCAGATGCCTGATTTCAGTAGCTTATAACAGTAGCTTGTAACTTATTATTGATATCAAGTTTTATGAAACAGGGTCCAGTACTTTAGCTGCTCCAGACACAGCCAGAGACTGGCAGAGGTAGGCTCTGCTCAAGGCTTTATGAATTGTGGTAAGTTTCCAATTTGAGTCTCATTCAGTGGCTGCAGAATAGTCAACCCTCATCAGCTGAGAGCATCGTCACCTTTGACCCTTAACCTTGACCTAATCCTGTAGATTATCCATCTCCCTCTACAATCATTATTCTCTCCTACAAGTTTAATATTACCATAACAGATTTTGATGAATATGTGCTTTGCCCCAAGGCACCGCAGAGGCAGTGACCTCTAAATGACCTCAAAGGGCAATGACATCAGGAGAGTAAACACTTAAAGGGAGTCACTCATCAGTTTCCATGTGCAGAAGGCCATAATTCGTCACACACCAGACTTGGGGGATAATAAAAATCATTAACGTGTGTACAGGTATTAAGCCTGCACACAGCGAACCCGTTGGCCAATTGAGAAATACTCCCTCATCTACCAAGAGTCTTCAGGTGTCGGAAAAGTGAGATAATGACTTTACCATGTGGGGGAATGGGTGGAAAATGCAGTACATTACATAAGGCCTGGTGGTCATAAAACTGAAGGCTAATTCTGGTGATTGACAGCACCTCTTATTGGGTAAACACTGGAACGGCGTTTAACTCCCCGTGAGAGCTAAACTACTGATACTGTTTTCACACTGGCAATATTTTGCTTAACCCCGTACTATAGGTGGGGTTAAGGGGGGGTCTTAGCCCCACCTATAGTACGGGGTTAAGCCTATTCCACTTTCTGTTCAGACTGGTTTTTACCAAAGTGGGCTAAAGTTGGCTAACCCCACCTATAGTACGGGGTTAACTAACCCTGCAAAATAGCAGGGCGAACTCCGCAATTGTGGTGCTAACTCCTGCTAACCCCGCAATTGCGGTGCTAAGCAAATGAATGAGAACAGAAACGAAAAATAGTCCGGTACTACGCAATGGAGCGTATCGCAGCTGGCCAGATGCGAAGTATGTCCAATCATAACATACACGATATCCGGGGTTAACGAAATGCAGTGAGAACAGCGGGAATTTTCTTATTCCGGAATAGGCGCTAGTACGGGACTAAAAACAGCGTGTGTGAAAAGCCAAAAAAATAGTCCGGGGTTAAGGATAGTACGGGGCTAAGCAAAGTATGGGGTTAAGCAAAACCAGTGTGAAAAGAGTATGAGTGTCTTTAAAATAAACTAGACATCGAAAACAGGAAGTTTTGAGCTGGTAATGGTATGGTATATGAAAATCTCTGTAACACTGCTATGTTTTTTTGTTTTCCCCTCAACCACGCCCCCCTTGAGTAAAAAAAAAAGAAGAGGATTCGCGGCAGAAAAATGGCATCTAACAACATTCCCCCCTTTTGAGTAAGAAAATTGGGAAAAAATTGGGAAAATAGGGAAAAATTGGGAAGAATAGAGAAAATAAGGGGGAAATCAGGAAAATCAGGATAAAATAGGGAAGAAAAAAAATATTTTAAAAAATATTTTAAAAAAAAAAAAAAAAAAATCTGGATTTTTTTTTTTTTAAGTCAGGAAGAAGAAAAAAAAATCGGGAAACCGATTTAAATCGGGTTTTTATCAGGCCTGAAGCAGAAAAATATCGGGAAACCGAATTAAATCGGGTTTTTATCAGGCCTGAAGCAGAAAAATCAGACCAACCAATCAAAAAAAGTTTGAGCTAAATCGGATAACTAATTAGAAAGTTATGAATTCTTAATGACATGAAAAACTTCGAAAATTACAGGACAAATTGGCTACTCAAACTGTGTGCGTATAGTCCCATATACATCTTTCTGTGTACAGTGCTTGTTACTTTACGAAGACTGGGCCAAATTTCTTATCATTTTGATGATTCCAGAATCTTGCAGTACACACCAATACTTATATGCTAGATGATCATCCTTTTCTGATCCATTCCACAACGTTTCTTTCACAATGCAATCGCATGACCAGAACTGGTCTTTAGCTTTAACATACATGTAGATATTGATGTTCTCATCGCGCATCGGACGCAGTACCTTCAAGAAAACAGACCAATTAGTTGAAAGTAAGTCCCTATATTTTTGATGTTTTACAATGATTTTCAATGTTGATGTTATTATTATAACAAAATTAAATCTATATTCTTTCCAATCATCATTTTGTCTAAATCGACCCGTTTTAGGTAAAGTTTAAGAAGAAAAAAAAAATCTCATTCGGCTAGATAATCCCCCCCCCCCTTGTGCGTGTGGCAAGGATTACCATCTGTGTATGAAGAAGGTTGAAAAATGTCTGTTTTATTAAGAATTCCCCATACCCGACGATTATTTCTGACGTCTTTCCTTACCTTTCTGATTCTCCTTAGCAGGCATGATATTCAACAGAATCACATTATATTTTAGGGGCCCAGTGTAAAAGTACACTAGCGCTGACAATATTGATCTCTAAGGAGTCGACTTAACATCAGACCTACTTATAGACTTCAGACAAAGCGCCACGGCAAGACCAAGTTTGACAAATTCCTTGGTCTCTACCTTCACCTCCAGAGCCCAGTGCAGTCCGAGCACCAGCCGCGAGCCGGCGCACTGGCGATCACGGCCGCCTGTAAAGAGGGGAATCCCCCCGCGCCCATACTATCTTGCTACTGCACTGTGCACCAAGCGGGCGAGTTGGCGACATAAACACTCATGTAATATGCTAGATTTTAATCTAATACAGGCGTTTACTTTGAAATCATAACTCTCCATTATACATAGAATGTATAAAAATAGTCACACTCACATGAAAATATGTATTATCTGTCAATGGAGCTCACCACAAAGTTGACCCCGGCCGAATAACATCGGAGCATGTATAATTCATACATTAACCCTGCACATACCCAGGCCAGCGCCCCGCCAGCAGCTCCCGCGCAACGTACCATAAACGTTTGATGTAACTGCTCCAAGTCCAACGTGGAACCTTGTCACGAAACCAATGTTTTTTGCTCCTTTCCCTAAAAAATAATCAATAAAAATACATTTCTATCATTGCATACAAATATATTAGTATAATCATTACGTACACTAATAATGTCTTACCGAAATAGCAGCATTTGCCCTCGAATCTCTCTCTCTGAAATACGACAATTTCACCCACGATCGGCCATGTGGTTTTTGGTGATGTTATGATGATGAGTAGGCGTGGACGATCAAAACATCATTTGCATAAATCAATCCGCGCAACAAATCCGGACGAAAATATGTTTTCGATGCTCTCTCTTTCTTTTAAAGTAATTGAATCAATTTGGAATTCATAATTTTCTATAATAGATCTAACCGAAAAGCTCGTAATTCTTGCAAAAAAGTCAACTAATTACCAGAACTTTATGAGACGCGGAAGAATATTTCGACTTGCATTATGTCATTGTTAGCCATAGAGTTATTTATAGCACTTGTTTCTGGTCGAGTCCCAGGCAGCAATGTATACATTTTGTCCCCCCCCCCCCCACCAGTGACCACTCTATGTCAGACAGCACACCCCCCCCCCCCCTCCCCCCAACAATTTCTGCACTATATATTGCCCGAATTCACAAAGGAGGTTTGTCGACAAATCATGGTTCAAACCATATGGGCCTACTCCATGTTTAGACTAACCTTGGTCTGAAACGCGTCAAGACGCGTCATATCCGCACATAAACCTAGGTTTGTCTACAAACCTCGAGGCTAGATGACTTCAGACCACGGGACCTACCTAGAGCTCGTGATAAAGGGATAAATATAACTAGGCTCTGCTCAGTGCTTTATAATTGTCCGAGAGAAATGGGCAAAATATCCCCCCCCCCCCTGTCAATTCATATCAGGTGATATAGTCTAGACCGTGTAAATAGCCCATATTTTACGTAACTCATTATTCATACACCAAAATGATTCTTCAAAATTGTATTAATTAATTCAAATTGTAATTGATTAATCGTAATTAATCATTTGTAGGTGCATATTTTTATAGCTTTGGTTGCAAATTGTTGAATTAGTCTTTTGTAGGCTCTTCTTCAAAATTGAAAGAAAGAAAAAACAATTTTTTTGGGGGAAGGGGGCTGCAACTCATGCAACCCACCCTCCACACACCTCACAAGCATACTACACTTCATTGCTTCACCGCTTTATCACACAAACTTTTTCTATCATGCACGTCTGCGCCCCGTATCCCAACCCGACCCCAAACCCAACCGCAACAGCCACCTACACCCCCACCTTCAAAGTCCCAACTGACGTAATTCGTATTTTAACAAATTATTCGAGACTGCCTAACGACAAGTGTTATTTATTCCGGACTGATGTCACTATGAAAACAAAGTTTAAAATAGAAAGAAAAAAAGATAAGTGATTTCATGATCCACAATTTATTGACACGTAAATTTGCGTGGGTGGATAATAACCGCAGAAGACAGGCGCGCAAGTATGGAGATCTATAATTATTATGGTCGACTCATCTGGCAGTGGCATAACGTTTGTCCACCCAATAAGGGGGGGGGGGGCGCTGCATGGGTTTAAGGGCGGCAAAGTCCGATATATTAAAAGTGGATGATTGCAGGGAAAACTGACCCATCGATTAGTCTTTAACAATTTGATAAAGGGTCAATAAATCAGTCTGGTATGAATATTATAAAATAATAATAATAATAATATTCAGCTTTTATATAGCGCAAATCACAAAAAGTCTCTAAGCGCTTCCAATACCACACTATTGCACTAAATAAATATGTAAATGTATTGTCTGTTCGGGGCCCAGGCGTGATTTGGCTCCAGCCATGGGAGTGGGAGTGGGGGGGGGGGGGGGGGGTCACTATAGAAAAATGAAAATGCGGAGGAACATGGCCACCAAGCAGAAAGGATGTGGAACGAATTTTCAAGTTCTTTTTCCCCATGTCCTACTACTTAAAAGTAACATTTGAGAAAAGTAAAGGGGAGATAGTTAGGATATAGGCTTATAGTTGTAGCGTTTTGATTGGAACTCAGGCAATAGGGACCTAGTTATGGAAATGCCCTGCCAAACAGAAACTCTTCGTACAATAGTTGGAGGATATCTTGGCATGCCATGCTCCGACTAACAAAAATATTGATTTTATTATTATTAAGCTATGTTAACGACGGTGAACGAAAAACTGCATCCGCGCTGAATCAAAATTGAAAGTCGCATTTCGTGGGAAGTTTGTACTTAAATCTCCTAATCAGCGTAAAAATCTTACAACTTGATTTTAATACCAGAGAGAGAGAGAGAGAGAGAGAGAGAGGGGGGGGGGGCACTATAAATCGACAAGTTTACTTTCCAGGGATTCACAACAAATTCGTTCCCGCCTCCTTTTTAGTCTCACTTCACAAAATAAATGTCGCTAAAATAGTCCCGGTAGAAAAAAGTCTCCTTTTGTCGCTGTTGTCTTTTTATTCAAGGGAAATAAAATGTTGTGGGTGTTCTCTGAGTGACTCTTATGTTTGCTCTCTCTACGGTCTGTTTGCTTCATTGTGATCATTGACAAAGGTTATCAAGTGACTCATCAACAAATATTATTGTTCTCCAGAGGCTAGAAAAAATCTGCAAAAAAATCTATATCACTGAGCTACTGATCGCAATGTATTGAATAGACGTTGCGAAATAGAACGACATTTACGAAAACAAGGAGTGAAATATGATGTCATTATGATGAACTTCAACATTTAAAAATAATAATGGAACACACTTCCAGACAAGCCGCATATAATTCTGACTAACAATTATAAAATTGTATAAACCTTGATAACTGGTTCCCAACAACATTCTCCATGACTGTTTTCAGTCTAAAAATGAAAAGAACATTCTTTTGTTCGTAACAATTCCCGTCTAGTTAAAAAGGATGATCTATAAAGGGGGGGGGGGTGAAACTTGCACGGTAATGCTAGCAAAATTCGCTAAATTTGGGTCTATAATTGCGGACAAGCTGGTCGGACATACAATAACAATAAATAGGGCATTTCTTCATAATTTTGGGGTAGTTTTCTTACCCAATAGTGTTCGGAAAAATACAGCCTCCTAACAACGTTGTGCCCAATGAACCTGGGGCTTGTGATCCCGGGCTCCCCAGGTAAGTATCCAAATTGAAATAAATCTTAAATGTTTTCTTTGCAATAATATTGAAATAACAATTTTTGAAGGACGACGAACAGGCAAAAAAATAATTTGTTCCGAGACATTGGTACTTTTTTACTTTTAATCCCAGTTGGGGCACACAATGATTGTCATTTAACAAATTTCTTGAACCGGGAGTAATAAAAAGCTCCCTCAAACATTCACCCCTCTCAAAGGTGCCCCTTCGTGACGTTCTTTTTTTAAAACTCGGGGCCCCCTCCTGCTGTCCTCAATTCCTTGGGTAGGCCTAATTATGTCTAAGTCAAGCATGCAGTGTTGTTTCAAATGATTACATCATAGCCAAATACAAACCATTATGATGGGGATATAAATGTTTGTGTGAGGGTTTTTTTTTCTTCGTCAAGTAACCAGACTCGTAAAAAGTTTGTTTACAAGTCCGCCTTGTGGTTTCTATGGAACTTACAAGAACAGTACTTTGGAATTACGTCATGGGAACAAAAATACCCGACGACGTAATGTTATTACACATGTCATTCTTAAGGTGACCCTGCATGCACGTGTATTCGAGAATATTGAACAGTAGGTTGAGGTCTGATAGGCCTAAATGTGAAAAAATTATTTGTGAGCATTTTCATTCTTGTTACTCCATCGTAGAAGTACTAGAAAGAAAATCACGTCGTTTGAAATGTGGGTGTACTACTGGAGAATGATGAGATAAGCCAGGAATCTTCAAGAGTCGCTTGAAAACACACCTCTTCCATTCATCTTAATTAAATTTGATATGTTTGTAATAGTGTAGAGTGTCTAATAAATAATGTGTTGCTTTGCTTTATGATATGTTGATCCGTTTTGTTGCCTATTCGTTGTTGTCTAATCCTTCTCTATAACTATTCATTTTGTTATTTTTACGGAACTATAAATGTAATTTGATAATTTGCTTATTATTTTGTATATTATGTATTTTCCCAATCAGCGGTAGTACGATGTATCTCAATAAACATTTCTACCTTTGTAATTATTATTATCCCTTACATTGACATTATCAACATTCTATCCTATATTATGTATAGCGCATAGAGACTTTGTTTAATGCGATAATTATGAAATTCTACTAAATATATTATATGAAGATTAACAGAGAAATACTGCATATGGCAGGGCTTAAATGAACCGGGGTTGGACGTTAAATTAATACCGGATGGGAAATACCGGTATTTTCGGGTAAATACCAAATTTTGTCTAAACTGGGAAATACTCATGGAAAACAAGAAATTTTAACAATGACCAATTAAATTTTGTCAATGTATACATTGAAAAATATTATATAATATATAATATTATATAATATAGGACTGTATATATTAGAAGTCTTATAATAAACATCTAGTGTGTAAACACCTGGAAAATATTCAAATACTACCAGGGGCGTAGACAACGGGGGGGGGGGGGATGAGGGGGATGCATCCCCCCACCTCACAAGGTGGGGGGGGGGGGGTGGCATGTACAATCATCCCCCCAGGTTTTGGGGAATGATATTTGCTTACTTAATAAGTCATAATGATGATAATAATAGTAATAATAATGATAACAATTATAATATTAATAATAATAATAATTATGATGATGATAATAATAATCCTCATCATTATTGTAATTGTGTTTATTGTTATTAGCCGCATTCACACGGTGAAAGCCAATTCAGACGGTAAAAAAAAAGAAAATCTTACAAGTATTTTGTGGTTATCTTGTGGTTTGGAAACCACAAGATAACCACAAGATTAAACAGGCGCGGAACTTGGGCGGCCCAAAAAACAAACAAAAAAAAAAAGGAAAAAAAAAGAAGAAAAAAAAAAGAAAAAAAGAAAGAAAAAAGAACGCACGCTGGAGAGAAACCCTTTCAAGTGCAAATATTGTGAGAAGATATTCAACTCATCTGGTAACTTAACCAAACACATGATAACTCTGGATATAACTGTGTATTTAACTGTTACTTGATTTAAAAAGACGTTATCATGCACTGCTTTTTATGGTCTCCTTTGTGTTAAAGGTAATACAAAGTTTTGGGAAATTTTGAAAATTGGGTGGATAGTGAATCTTTACAATTTTGATATATTTGGATGCCCCTGGGGATGAATTATAAGCACTAAAAAAATTAGCCCCTAAAACACTTTTGTTTTCGAGAAAAATTAAATTTAAAAATTTACCGGTGCTCCCGGTAAATTTTGATGAATTTCAAATAGCGCCTATGGCCGTACAATGGTAGCTGCGACCATGAAAATCTCAGAATATGTAGTTGTGATATATAATTTCCAAACGGAAATAGCTAATCGGTCGATTTTAGTCAAGAAACATTGTTTCATAGCTAAATTAATATCTTGACCTTGAGAGGGAGCTATACAACATAAAGAGTTTATTATTTATAATTTCATAACTTTAGACTCAATTTCAACCGCGACAACGATCAATGAATATTGTAGGAACGCATATGCTTCCAATATGTTAATTTGAACCAAATTCATGACCCCATACCAAAACTTTGTAATACCTTTAATAGATGCCAGGAAAACATCACTTACGGGGTTCAAATAAACACCCCCCCAAAAAAAATCAGCTCGCCGCTTCGCGGCTCGTGGACGAAGCTCCGCATCGTCATTATTGGTCAACCCCCCCCCCTTAGCAAAAAGCTAGATCCGCCCCTGAGTCATCCCCCCCAGGTGTACGAACCTGTCTACGCCACTGAATATTACATCTATATAGAGAACTAAACATTATTATAGTTCAGTAAAATTGTCTATTATGACAATTACCTGCATCATAACTTGTAGAATTGTTAGTTTAACAGAATAGAATTAATAAAATAAACATGTCTTGCACATTACACATCAATATGAACCAATAGAATATTATCGCTTCAATTTTTCATCATACTCTGAGGGGATCTTTCGTATTTCTGCGTGGCATGCATTTTTTTTCGGGGGATCTGCATGACGTTGTAGCTTTGGCCAAAATACCCTCCAAAGACACCCCCCCCCCCCCCGCGGACAATTACCCCCCCCCCCCCTGCCCCCCAAAAAATTATCCCCCGAAAAAAAATATCCCATAGGAAATGACCCTCTAAGGACAACCATCCCCAAGGTAAACCGCAACCAAGGACAACCACACCGAGGACAATTACCCCCCCCCCCCCCGAAAATTTACTGCTGTTCAATCACCCCCGAGGACGCTCCCCCCTGCCTCAAAAAAAATTATCCCCCGAAAAATATTATAGGAAAATAACCTTCTAAGGACAACCATCCTCAAGGTAAACCGCAACCAATGACAACCACACCGAGGACAATTACCCCCCCCCCCGGAATTTTTCCCCTGTTTAATAAGGAGGAACTCCACTCTGTTAATAAGTTGGTTTGAATAAAAGCAGACAAAAATACAGAAACCAAGTAAGTGAAAGTTTGAGCGAAATTCGTATAAAATTGATAAGCTGTCGTACTTAAAGGCACACTGTCCTACTTGTAGCTACTTGCTCCCTCTATATAGAACACTTCCCCAATCGGTGCCTGTTGGTCCCCCATAATCCTCTTTTTCTTATGTTAAATGAGAGCTGAGTTAATGAGATAGCCACCTGTCACAGTGACCTTGCTGGCTGTGTGGTATAATCCCTTCTGACTGAAGTAGTAAAGCCTCCCTTTAATAAGTTTTACAGAGGAGAACAAAACGAAGGGACACTGATGTTCGCGGCTCGCTTGATTTTTTGAAGTACATGTATATTTAATTGGTCAAAAAAAAGAAGAACAAAAAGAAGAAGCTTATAAATGATTTTATACGAGGCACTGTAGAAAATTAATTCAAGAAACCCCAAACCCTCTAAAGCACCCCACTGACTCTCTCCCCTCCCCCCCCCCGAAAAAAAAACATTTCAAGAACCGCGCATGGGATGTACTAAAGCCGAAGCAACTTGGAGCTAAATAAAAGAAGTGAACCTGCTAGAGTGTGAGTGCAACTAGAATAGCAGAGAATGCAGAACAGAGAACGTTAGAGGGTGATATACCACTTTACCATAGCAGCCATACCTGGGTCACAAATAAAGACACCTCATGTTATTATTTGCCATTTCTTTTTCGTTTATTTTCGGGAGGGGTGGGGGCAGGGGGGGGGGGCTGTTGTGAGTAAAAACCTCCTTAAATATCTCAGATTCATCTTTGTGTAACACGCCGATCACACGCAGAAACTGGTAGAAAATACTCATCACACCATTCGTTGTGTTGCGGTTCTTTTTATTTCAGGTGCAAAGTAAACAAAGCTAAAGTAAGCTAAAACCAAAGCTAAAGCCTGGACAAATAAACAAAGTTAAAACAATTAAATAGAAATGTGGACATGTTTGAAAAACACACATAATAGTGATAAACATAATATTTGTTAATGACTCTAAGATACGCATTCCAACAATATGACGTCAAGCCGACTCATGATAATAAATGATAAACAGGTTGTTTATAATACATTCATTAAAACTTAATCAATATCGCATGAAAATAACAAGTATCTAATCAATAAAGTTCTTCCATCTTTATGGATAACTTTCCCAACAAATAAATGAATACAACCATCAAGTAAACTTTGTCAAACAATCAAACATAATTCCCAATTAAAACTACATTGAATTTGTGGTTTATATACATTGAATATGATAACCCACTCACCCTGGCAATCTGGCCTAGAGGACCGTTTCCTCTCGTTCCCGCTTCTTACATGTTGATTGTCAACACCTGAAGGAATAATAATTAATACAAAGCATTGTGAATTATATTCCACAGCAGAAAACTGAAGAAGATTCAGACTATATCCACAAACTGTTAACTCTCAAAATAATACTTTACTACTGTTTCGCAAAACACAATTAACCAGAGTTAACCTCAACACATTATATAACTACAACTTCTAAAAATTACAAGTGATATAACAAATAACATAGTAATATTCAAATCATCTCAAATTACTATTACCAAATCTTAATCTAGTGCTTAACTCACTAACGAAATCAACCTATACTGATGATTAAACAAATAATATGCCACACCTTACATAATGCATATTAATTCAACACAAACTATATCGTTAAAAAACGATACCAAGGTTATTAACTAACATCAGAATACATCTACAAAAGTACTAATTATCTCAATAATTATCCAACTTAACAAAAGAATAATCTTCTTACCTATATAATGACATGTTACACCAAAAGCTTGCAGAGTCGACCTCCCTGCCTGCCCCATGGATGGGGTGCAGTACAGGAGTGAATCTGTCAAATACCTCTGCCTTCTTTTATAACAGCTACACTCTCACGGTGGTATAGCTACCACACATAACCTGTTCTGGGAAAGGGTCTTCATTGGGAGGGATCGAGACAGGAAGTCTTTTGTTTTGGGGGTTCTTATCCGATGTTTACAATCTGGGGTTTGTTTGGCTAAGTTACTACAAGTGTTCTGGAAAGGGGGGGGGGGGGGGGGGGGGGGTCGAGTTACTAACCTTTGACCAAGTGACCGTACATCATTAACTCTCTCATAGCTGTGGAATGTCTTGTTTTGGCCAAATTGATAGCTTCTACTCGGAATATGTGTGAGTCATACTTCTTTGAAGTACACAATTTGTAAACATATAAACTTCTTACTTTCCTCCTGAGGAGATATTGATTAGAAATAGATATATATGTTTCACTATAAAACAGTTCAATTCTGACCTGTTACATTTGTATTTACATTTTCATTGTATATACTTGAATAGGTTTTATACATTTATAATTGGCCCACTAGAGCTCCTGGTGAAAATCTGCTGTTGCAGCACATAAATTCGTAAAAACGTTTCGATGACGCTATTGTTCACATTTGCAATTTGGTTAAAATCTGAAGTAAAAAAAAAACAAGAGGGAAGGTAAAAAAGTTAGCCGCGTTATTTCTAAGTTTAGAAGATTAATTACCACAAATTTGCCATTTTAACTTTTGCTAAGCTTTAGTACAACAATATACAAACCACTGATATAATTGTTCTGCAATTTTTTCCCATTCTTTCTGGCCCTGGTGATCTGTCTGTCTGCTTATAAGATACTCCTTCATATTATCCTTCCAAAATATACACAATATGAATATTACATTTTAAACATATTTGTTTGTGTAATGATTTCGTGATTAAGGGGAACCAAAACCTTTATACTAAGTTACTTTTATTGTAAAGTTTAAGATATTTGAATAAAATCAATGAAAATTTGAACAAAATCGGGCAAGGAAAGCTTTTTGAAATGACTAGTCACTAAGAGGGCGATATTCAATTTGATGACATCATCTGTGGACAACTCTCCATGCCTTTTGTACATCAAATTTCATGTTTTTCCTTTTTTCTTGTGATTGAGATAATCTACTCCCCTGAAAGCAAGGTATAGAATGCAAAATGATATTCTACTTCTTCATGTTATGAAGTCGGATCAAGAACACAAATAAATACGAAGAAAACGAAAAAATTGTGAAATTTTATGTACAAATGAAGGCATGGAGAGTTGTCAACAGATGATGTCATCAAATTGAATATCGCCCTCTAGTGACTAGTCATTTAAAAAAAGCTCTAACTTCCTTATTCCTTGCCCGATTTTGTTCAAATCTTTTAAACTTTACAATAAAAGTAACTTAGTATGAAGGTTTTGGTTCCCTTTAATGTTCATGACCCATACAAAATCATTGGCACATGCAGCGAGTGAGATGGGAAGGTAATTTTGTTGGTGAATTGCCGTTGAGTCTACAACCAGTTCGTCTGATACCATGCAATTAGTCTATTCCCATATGGTCTATATAACCAGCTTGTCTACTATCCACATGGTCTTACAATCATTTTGTCTATACATATCATTTGGTCTAATGAGTTTAGGCTAATTTCCATATGGTCTAATCCATTAAGTCTACTACCCATTTGGTAGTCTAATAAACAGTTATTCTAATTCCCAGTTCGTCTAATGCCCATTTCGTCTACCATCCTCAAGTTCTAATAGTCCTTTGATGAGTATTAATATTCATGAATAAATGATTATTAAACTATATGGATAGTAGACACAAAGTATATTAACCTTAATGGTCATTAGACTAAATGATATGTAGACGAAATGATCATTAGACCATGTGGATAGACAGATAGTAGACGGGCTGGGTATAGGCCATATGGGAATGGACCAATTGAGCTGGTTGTAGACCAAACGACTATAAACCATTTTGCCGACTTGAACTAAAATTTGGGAATCCCCCTAAATAAACCATTACGTCATGGTCGCCATTGTTTTGTATTAGTCTGTATAAAAAAGCCCTATTTAAGTTATCGTTTAAAAAAATGAATTATAAAGATTAAGTTACAGATAATATATAAACGGTAATAGAAAATGTAAATTAATTAGCATTTGATTTTTTGTTCTATTGTTATTTTTCATAAATTATAATTTTCTTACCTGATATGACACACCAACAAGCCTGTACTCAAAAATAGAGTTACGAAATCTAGACTATTTACGCGTAAACTATCATGCAAGACTCGGAGTGACAGGAATGACGCAATGCTATGTTTAGGCAGTTTTTAAAAGGAAAATGTCGGCAATACATGAATCGTTCACAAGGCGACGTTCCTGTACTTTAATCTTAAACTATCCCAAACATTAATTTTGATAGATCTGTGGAAAGGCTGTGAGTGATGTCGCTCCGACACGGCTTACAAGCTATTGTTCGCGTGGTTCGGCGAAGGGTGCAGCAACAAGCACAACAGCACACCCACGGTCATGCAGGCCGACAAAAGGCCGATGCTCCGACATTAAATCCCGCTCAGCACTACCACAGTAGCGGACCGACTGGACCAAATGTTGTTCTTCGTCCAAAGTCACAAAATCTGGCAAATAGGGCCGCCCAGGTATGGCGACTGACACCCGGTTCCTGGTCTCGAATTACTCTTGCAAATGGGACTAGAACTGTCCCGTCTTCAAGACCAGTGTTGCCATTATTGCTTGGATTTGCAGGAATTGGATTTGTCAGCCAAGACCAAGTCCAAGATTCTCCACAAGATGGTGAAGCCGGTATTGCTGCAAGAAGTGGCATTGATCTTGATACAGCAATACAGGTTGTGCAGGTACGTTGTGTTTAAAAATAATGTAGTTAATATTTTATTTGTAATTGTTTTCTCCCTTTAACCATTAACCATTAATTAACTCAGAAATTAAGCTAACTCTGAATATTAGATGATGTTTAATTTAGCCTCTAAAAAACAATGTATGTAGCTTCTGCATTCTGGTTGTCTATTGATTCATCATCATCAACTTCAAGTGGCGCTGTAAAGCGCTGCCTTTGCCTTCACCTGCCATTTGTGTGGCACCTTTCATTCCTTGTCCAGACACTTTATATCATCAGTCCAAGATATTGGTGGACGACCTCTACCCCGTTTTCCTTCGACTGCTCCTTGTAGTATTCGCTTTGGAGTCAGGCTAACTCGGATCAGGTGACAACTCGGCCCAGATGCAAAAACAGTCATTTCTTGCATGTTTAGGTTTAGGGTTAGGTTTACGGTTAGGGTTAGGGTTAGAGTAAGGGTTAGAGTTAGGCAGCGCTCAAAATACACGGGGGCGGTGGGCGATTCGCCCCCGTGAGTTCCATAATCGCCCCCGTCAGGTTGCTCACGGGGGCGATTGCAAAATTACAAATCGCCCCAGTGGAATTATAAAATTAAGATTATCTTTTCTGATATAACTTTAACACAATATTGAGTATTAATTTTCAAACCTTAAACCAATGAAATGGAACTTAGATGGCGCTTTCTCTACCATCTCTACGAGTATTCCCGATACAAAAAACGGAAGCTCGCGGTGCGGCCGTCAGCACAGTGGCTATACTGCGCTGGTAGTACCGGTGTGCACGCTGACGCCGAATATCTGCTGGAGCTGGAGATCGACAATCGCGCAAGGACTGAAACATGGAGAAGTTTTTCGTTGTGAAAGTTTGAATCCTCTGAAATCTGGTGATTCTTAAAGACTAGCAAATAATGTAACCCGACCAGTATATCAATATTGAGAAGAAGAAGAAGAAGGCATAAGATGTTGCAGGGGCGGATCTATGCGGTTTAGGGGGTTTAACCCCCCCCCCCTCCCCCTTGTGCTGCCAAGGAAAAATGTGATGTGCACAGAAAAATGCTATCATGTGTCCAGACCTACACAGTGTTAATAGATGTCAGTAGATGCCAGGAAAATATCACTACATATGTTCAAAAAAGCACCAAAAAATCGCCTCGCCGCTTCGCGGATCGTGGACGATGATCCGCATGTTAGTAGATGCCAGGAAAACACCACTTACAGGGGTTCAAAATAGCAACAACAAAAATCGCCTCGCAGATACGCGGCTCGTGGACGATGCTCCACATCGTATTTGGGGTACCCCCCCCCCCCACCCTTAGCAAAAAGCTTGATCCGCCCCTGTGTTTTGGAAGGATATGGTAAAGACTAAAAGTAAAGAGAGAATGTAAATAAGGTTGCTCTGAATAATGAGGAGGAAATTAAAATTATGTGCAAAACGGGAAGAAATGGAGAAAATGTCAACACGGGGATAAAGTCAATAACAGCTATGTAACAAGTATATTTCTAAGAGGAAAAATACCGACTTAGATAATAAATGATAATAATAAAATAACAAGGAGTTTCACGGGTACCAATTCAATGGAAATTTGTATTAAAATAAGAGCCCCCATCAGCACTAAAAACGCCCCCGTGAGAAGGCTCACGGGGGCTCTTTTTTTTTTGGAAGAGCCCCCGTGGGCAAAAAATTAATTTGAGCCCTGGAGTTAGGGTAAAATGACAAAAAACAACCATTTTTGCAGCTGGGACGAGTTGTCCCCTGGTCCGAGTTAGCCCGGATCCTTTGCTTTGTATTAGTATTAGTATAATAGTGAGTGTCTATGTTCATGTATATAACCGGTGTGTTGGCTCAGTCAGTAGAGCGTCCGCCTCACAACCGGAAGGTCGTGGGTTCGAACCCCGGCCGCGTCATACCAAGTGGCTGCCGGGCTCACGATCAATTGGGCAATAGAATTTCCATTTTCGGTTTAAACTTAATCAAATTTGGAGTGGACTTTAAAAGATTATTATTATTATTATTAATATATTTTTTCTTCAAACTTCTCTTCAGTCTGTCTTCAAGAACCGTGACCTCAAACCAGATCACTTGATGGATCACCCCTTCACTGAGTTCCCATCCAAACTAACTGGTTACACACTCTCTAAAACCACCCTCGCAAAGGGTACTGAGGGCGTCGTCTTTGGTGCTAAGAAGCGATGTAGCGTTCCTTCACCTGAGGGAGATGTAGAGTTTGCTGATCCCTGCGACAAAGACATGCCCATGTCCGCTGATCAGCAGAAAAATGGAGGGCGTGGAGAGCAGCGAAATGAAGAGTTGCCAATTTGTGACGATAAAGAGTGCAATTTAGCCTTAAAGGTTTGTAGTTCAGCTTGCTAGAAACTCTTTACTCACAGTATCCATGGAACTAGTGCCCCCGTAACACAAAAGTTTGCAATCAATCGCAAATTGGCTTTTGGCCAATCATGATCATTGTTGCATGTACATATTGTTCAAAAGCCTGACCATTAACCAATCAGAATTCTTGTTTGAAATTTGCAATGAAATGAATTGCAGACCAGGCTTTGTGTACTAACAGGGTTCTGGTGTGTCAAAGTCGGAGTTGTCAAAATAAAAATTGGACAAATATTGAGAAAGTTACGAGTGTTTAAAGAGAAGGTTGAGTTCTGGGAAGAGGTGAAAAATAATTTGTGAGCGTTATCATTATATTATGCAAGTATGGAAGTACATCAGCTAAAAAATTGCAAACCAGGTTTTGTGTACTACCAGGGTTCTGGTTTGTATAATTCAATGATTTTACCTTATTCAATGTATTGCAATGTTGTATGGGCCAATACATATCCCAGTAGGCTCCTTGGATTATTGAAATTACAAAAAAAGATTGTAAGAATATGTTCAATGTCTCACTATACTGCTCCTTCACAACCACTATTTAAAAAACTTAATCTTCTCACAATCTGTACTGTATCTCATTAATGGTCTTTAAACATAAACATAACAAATTACCATATAATCTTGCCTCTATTATTAAATGTAAAACAGAAATGTAATACTAGATACTAATACTAGAAATCCAGAAAATTACTATGTCGAAAAATGTAAAAATACAGCATCATCTTTTTCTTTCAAATCAAAAGGACCATCAACATGGAACTCTCTTCCTCATTATCTTAAAACAATTTCGTTTCTTAATTCTTTTAAATCAAAATTTAAGTTTTTTTTATTCACATACTCTACAAAATAATTAATCCATCCCAACTTTTATAACTTTTATAACTTTTAAATTTATTTTTTTTGCCATAATGTCACTATGCTTTTCGAATTCTTTATCAGTAAAATTTTTGGTATTTTAATAGGCTGGGGATTGCGTCGACAGAACCTTTATTTGGTTCTTTTGCAATTTCCATTTCATGTTCATTATCTATTTCCTTGATTTCTTACTCTTGTCTTTACTTCCCTTTTTAATTGTGTGTTTAAAGTTCAATGTATACTGTGTATCCTACATGAAAATATGATGTCAATGTACAATGTTTTTCAATGTACTTTTTTTAAAATGGACTTGAATAAAATAAAATTGAATTGGAATTGAATTGAATTGAAAATGTTCCATGAAAAGCATGGCTCTTCAAATACCGTAATGTTCTAAAATATGGCATGTGACATCATAAAAATCAGGACAGATTTTTAAGCCACATGTATGACATGTTTGTGTAGACCCATATACATATTTCTGTGTACAGTGTTTGTAACTTTACCAAGACTGGGCCAAATTTATTATCATTTTGATGATTCCAGAACCTTGCAGTACACACCAATACTTACATGTATATGCTAGATGATCAACCTTTTCTGATCGATTCCACAACATTCTTTCACAAAACAATTGCATGACCAGAACTTTATCTTTAAAAGTCAAGACTGCTAAAAGTGTGAATCTCTAATCTGGACTTGGTGATTCGCTTATGACATATTCATGGAAGATTTTTCTGTTTTTTGCACAATATAATAACATGACTAAAAGACAAATTTAAATGAAAGATTTTTTTTTTTCTTCCTATAAGCACCTTTTCTTGTCATCCCCTTTTACAACATTCCTAATCCCCCTTGAAGCTGATCAACATACGTATGGTCTCTCTTTTCATTTTTAGATGATGTTTAATTACAATGTTGGATCCACTCCTGCTGACATCATGGCAGAATATGAGGCTGAACAGCTCCCTCTTGTGATGGCTGGAGGGACATTCTGTCAATCCAACAAGTTCAAGCACGAGAGGTGTGTACAGTCAAACCTGCTTGAGCAACCACCTGTCTTTAAAGACAACATAGTCATATTGCATGAGACTTGGGGAGTGTTTCACAGAAACTAAGATCGACTTTGAGTTGGACTTAACTATGGCAGGCCGTTCCTGCCACTGTTTGCTCTCAACATCTGGTTACAAAGCAATGAATTGGCTCTAGTATATACCATTCAAAACATTTTAGTGTTGAAAGATTTTTAAAAGCCTGTTTTATGTCTTATTTTCATGGAAAAACGGTTAGGAGAATTTATTGTTTGAGTGTGTAACACAGTGACGCCTTGTGGTTTTAGAATTTTGAAAGGATTTGTTGCATGTTGGAGGGTTAGTACAGTACCAGTAGATGGAATATAATACTGGTAAGTGACATATACAAAAACTACACGGTTTTTCATCAACCTTCAACAATGTTACCGGTTCAACCAATCTCGAGAATCTAGAGCACGCAATCAATCCAGTGGGTGCACAGCTGTGCCCATTCCCAGAGAGTGGTGGTGTATCTCTCAAGCTCTATGCAAAACAGGGGCCTGTTTCATAAAACTTTTTATCAATAACAAATGCTAAATTTCTATGACAAATTTGCTCTCAGCCAATCAGATGCCATGGTTTCAGTAGCTTATAACAGTAGCTTGTAACTTGTTATTGATATCAAGTTTGCTCTCAGCCAATCAGATGCCTGCTTTCAGTAGCTTATAACAGTAGCTTGTAACTTGTTATTGATATCAAGTTTGCTCTCAGCCAATCAGATGCCTGCTTTCAGTAGCTTATAACAGTAGCTTGTAACTTATTATTGATATCAAGTTTGCTCTCAGCCAATCAGATGCCTGCTTTCAGTAGCTTATAACAGTAGCTTGTAACTTATTATTGATATCAAGTTTGCTCTCAGCCAATCAGATGCCTGATTTCAGTAGCTTATAACAGTAGCTTGTAACTTGTTATTGATATCAAGTTTTATGAAACAGGGTCCAGGTTGACCTGGGAAACAAGACCAAGGATGATTTTCCTCCTACGCTACAATAAGTGTCATGAAAGTATGCTAATGAACTTCTCGAAATATTCGTGCCTTATTTAAAAGATATATCTTTGGTATCATCTCTGCACAATCATCACCAATTTTTAAATGTTTATCCTTCTTTTCTTTAAAAAAACAACTAAAGTCATACCAGATTTCGGAAATTGATATTGAATATCATTGTATTCCCAGCAGAGGGATGCCAGCACATTTTAAAACACTTTTAGTCATTTTTTAAAACTAAGTGATAATATCATTTTTAAAGGCCGTCTGTACTAGTTTGGCAAGGGGGATTAGACCACCAGCAAGGTCACTGACAGGTGGCTATCTCATCAACTCAGCTCTCAATAAACATAAGAAAAAGAGGATCATGGGGGACCAACAGGCACCGATTAGGCATTGTTTTCTATATACAGGGAGCAAGTAGCTACAAGTAGTACAGTGGGGCTTTAACAATTTGGACAATGTATGAAATGAATTGTGTCATATGTAGATGTAGTCAAAGAATGGTATTACTTTCAAATGCATTTTTCTCAAAGTGTACATCAGTTTTTATCGGGTGAATCCATTCACAAATAGCAAATAGCCACTATTATATACCTCACTTAAAGGAAACCAAAACCTTCACACAAAGTTACTTTTATTGTAAAGTTTAAAAGATTTGAATAAAATCAGTGAAAATTTGAACAAAATCGGGCAAGGAATAAGGAAGTAAGAGGTTTTTGAAATGACTAGTCACTAGAGGGCGGTATTCAATTTGATGACATCATCTGTGAACAACTCTCCATGCCTTTTGTACATAAAATTTCACAATTTTTTTGTTTTCTTCGTATTTATTTGTGTTCTTGATCCGACTTCATAACATGTGAAGTAGAATATCATTTTGCATTCTATATCTTGCTTTCGGGGGAGTACATTATCTCAATCACAAGAAAGAAGGAAAAACATGAAATTTGATGTACAAAAGGCATGGAGAGTTGTCCACAGATGATGTCATCAAATTGAATACCGCCCTCTAGTGACTAGTCATTTCAAAAAGCTCTTACTTCCTTATTCCTTGCCCGATTTTGTTTAAATTTTCACTGATATTTTTCAAATATCTTAAACTTTACAATAAAAGTAACTTAGTATGAAGGTTTTGGTTTCCTTTAAGTAATCCAGCAATCTGATTGGTCGAAATTGCATTCATAAACTTTAACTGTTCCTGTAAAAACAGACCTATTTTCCCAATAACCATGGTTATTGGGAAAATAGGTCAGTCTCCATGGTTACCCCATAGGTTTACATGTTAAAAAATGGTTTGAGCGATCGAGGATACCGTACGTGTGCGAAGAATTGGTCGGTAATTGCAATACAATTGAATCTCGATCGATCTTACCGACAATTTTATCTTGCATTGTTGACATGAAGACAAAAATAAACTTCCAAAAACAAAAAAACAACATCTGCCGATAGATCTTGATCTAAGTTCGTGCCAATATGCATTGCAAAAGTAAAAGAAGGGCCCGATTAATGGAGCAGCCGTGAATCATCAATCACGCGAAGCCGTTTTCAATCCATTTTAATGTATATATTAGAGAAAACTGTTAGGTATGGTAACAGAGCGCGATAGCCGAGCGGTTTAAGGCGCTGATTTAGTTACGTCACCTTTGGTACGCAAGAGATCGAATCCCATCTTCAACAAAAGTTTTTTTATTTTTTATTTTTTAGTCTATTTTTTTTCGGCATATAAAAGTATTAATGACTGCTTTAATATTCGAGAAATAGTTGTTTTTATACGCTCTCGGGAAGGTTACAATTGGGCTATTGCCCTCGGCATGCCTCGGGGCAATAGCACAATTCTAACCTTCCCTTGAGCGTATAAAAACAACTATTTCTCTCAAAGCAGTCATTAATACTATATTATTATTATTATACATGCTTCATGCCCTTCTACAGGGCACATACTGGAAATGAGGTACAGGGGGGTATTTCACAAAGATCCTAAGTTAAACTTATCTCTAAGTTGGAGTTAAAAATTATGGAGAGCCATTTGTAGCTTTAAATAAAATATATTCCAAAGTGAAAATTCAAGTATTTTAGACTTTTTATAAATTCCACATCAAAAACATAAAATCTCCTTGATATTAGAAAATATGTATTGAATTGATGCTAACGGCTTTCCATAATTGTTAAGTCCCACTTAGAGATAAGTTCAACTTAGAGATAACTTCAACTTAGGATCTTTGTGAAACACCTGTCTTAGAATTTTTCCCCCTTTTCATATTTCTGCAGACCTAATGGCAGCCTTCGTTCAAGTCACCCAAACATTGTTCTTATGCATCGAGCCTTTGTGGATGATGTGCGTGTGCCTAGTCTCAGCTCTGCAGTCTCTTTGTTTGATGTGGCATTGCCTGTGAGGCTCAACCCTATGGGGGCTGGGGCAGACACTACCATGTACATAGTCATGAAAAGGTAACAACCCACACCCATTTAGGGAATATGCAATTCTAATATTAATTTAGAAATTATGATACAGTGGTACATCATTTAAAAATAAAGTTGAGTACTGGTTTTGTTATGTTGTCTTACTGGGTAATTCTTTTCAGAAGAGATTTCTACTATGATACTCTTTCAAACTGATAAATACCTCATGATACCTGTATGAAGAATGAGAAAGCTCACACCTTCTCTTTACTTATTCTGTTTTGTAATGTGCAGGTACAGAACTTCCTTGAGGGATTACTTGAGCATGGAATGTGACCTGCCAGACCATACTGTCATGGTCATCGTGGCGCAGTTACTTGAAGCTGTTGGTTACCTTGGAAACCAGGGTGTGGTCCATCGTGACCTCAAGAGCAACAACATTCTTGTTGATTACGAGGAAGGTGAGGGAACTTTCATGAATCAGAAATTCCTGGCACATTCCTATGGTCAGGTTATGGGTCCCATTGGTCCTATGCCTAATTGGTCCTATATTCAATTGGTCCTATATTCAATTAGTCCAATTGATCCTATAACCAATTGGTCCTATATCCAGTTGGTGCTATGTCTCTTTGGTGCTATGTCCCTTTGGTGCTATGTCCCATTAGTACTTTGTTTAATTGGTTCTATGCCCAATTGGTCCTATATCCAGTTGTTGCTATGTCCCTTTGGTGCTATGTCCCATTAGTACTTTGTTTAATTGGTTCTATGCCCAATTGGTCCTATATCCAGTTGGTGCTATGTCCATTTGGTGCTATGTCCCATTAGTACTTTGTTTAATTGGTTCTATGCCCAATTGGTCCTATATCCAGTCGTTGCTATGTCCCTTTTGTGCTATGTCCCATTAGTACTATGTTTAATTGGTTCTATGCCCAATTGGTCCGACACCTGATACATATTTCTCCCAAATCAAATAGGTTTTTCCTTTGCATTTTTACTTAAACAGAATCAATGGAATTACATTATATATGTTTCGTGCTTTTTACTACTTGTAATGCGGTTTATTCTTATATGTTAGTTTTACACTGTTCTTATCTTTGCTTGTGAGCTTTGGTGATCTTCATTATTTACATTTCTGTGTACTACATGTTTATCCTGTTCAGGACCATGATGTAAAACAGATTTTGTATCTACAATGTATATCTGATTCTTGTTATCCTGAATAAATATATTTCAATAAAATAAAAAAAAATAAAATATGCCCGGTGCGAAAGTTCACTAGTGCCAACTTCTCTATGTTCAGCCTTTTCATTTCTTCTCTGTTTGTATAGCTTCTGGAGCATCACCACATGTAGTCATAGCGGACTTTGGATGTGCGCTTTCATTACGCGGGAGAAACCTCCAGGATTCTGTGAGTGTCGAAGACCGGAATAGGCAAGGCAACTCAGCACTAATGGCTCCCGAGGTAAGCATTGTTAATAATAATAATAATAATAATAATAATAAAAACGTTACTTATAAAGCGCTTACCACCTAAGTCTCTAAGCGCTATAACACACAAACTAGACTGATACACAATTACATCTTATACAAAACTAAGAATGCAAATAAACCTACAAATTACAATACATAATTATGGAAGACACATCAAAGTGAACAGAGTTAATTAATCATCGAACACAATTTTGAATAAATGTGTCTTAAGACTAGTTTTGAATAGGTAACGGTTTGACAGTTAGAGATGGCATGGTTGACCTTGGGTTTGGATTCTTGCCATGACTACAAATTTTGAGAGAAAATGTTGAAGTGCCCCAATCACCTATTGTGATCAGCTAGGATGTAAGTCCACCTCACATTCAATGGGAACTCAGTGTTATATGCTCTGGCTCCTAACCATTAGGAGCCAGAGCATATAACACTGAGTTCCTATAGGAAATATATTCATTCAGATGATGATATCTCAATCAATACTTAACATATTCAATTGGTTTTCGACATTTGGACATTATTTTTGATGCTCTTTCGGAAAATGTAGAAAAAATGAGAAATTCTAAAAGATTTTTATGACGTCACAGCTTCGGTACTCTATGGCCTAACGGATAAGGAGAAAGAAGGAATATAAGGAATAACATGAAACCGCACATGCGAACCCAGGTCAAACATTGGTTCCCTGCAAGCCCAATTATATTTATGCGAGCAAATACAGGTGTATCGAGTAGTCTATTCACAAGTTGCTTTTTATGTTAAATGAAAGTGTATTTAAACTTACAAAATCTCTTTACAGAATTAATATTTGAAGTATATATTTTGAATTTATGATCACCACCTTGAGCCACTAACCACAATATATCTTGGTGATTTGAACACTTTTAAAGACCCATAGTCATGGGCTCTCAATGGGGAATTTGGGTGTTTACCCATTAAAGATAAAGTTGAGTTCTGGTCATGCGATTGCATTGTGAAAGAAAAGTTGTGGAATGGATCAGAAAAGGTTGATCATGTAGCATGTAAGTATTGGTGTGTACTGCAAGGTTCTGGAGTCATCAAAATCATAATAAATTTGGCCCAGTCTTGGTAAAGTAACAAGCACTGTACACAGAAAGATGTATATGGGACTACACAAATGGTGTCGGGTTAGCTTACCTTGATTTCCTTATCTTTCTATGCTCATTAATCAGCAAGTATACATTTTCTACCAAAATTGTTTGGCGATGGACATTTATGTGTAATCTTGAACATTCAGTGTAAGTTTTGTTTGAGAATTCATTTTTTTTTTTTTAAACCAGAACTCAAGTTTATCTTTAAGCATTGAGAGTGGAGATCATCACTTACATGATTTGTTCGTCATATGTAATGCTCTGTACCCTCCACCTGGGGGGTGTTTCACAAAGATCCTAAGTTGAACTTATCTTTAAGTTGGACTTAACAATTATGGAAAGCTGTTAGTATCTTTGAAAATGCTTTGTAAAAGTAATTTTAAAAGTAATTTTAAAAGGCATAAAATGTTGATTCAAATCATTCATATTTTCTATTGTCAAGGAGATTTCATGTTCTTGATGTGGAATTTATGAAAAGTCTAAAATACTTGAATTTTTGCTTTTGATTATATTTTATTTTAAGGCAACAAATGGTTCTCCATAATTTTTAAGTCCAATTTAGAATTAAGTTTGACTTAGGGTCTTTGTGAAACACCCCCTTGGTATAGTGGCCCACATGCACATCCCAATCATTTATATATGGGGAGGAAAGACCTCAGGGTAACAGTGATCCAGTTCACTTTTCCCCTCCTGCAGGTACGTAACACCAGTATTAAATAAACGATTATAACAACTATTTTACAATTGCATGCAGGTAACAAAAGGATACCATCACGATTGTCTCCATTACCATGACTACCTGAAGGCAGATGCGTGGGCAGTTGGAGCCATCATATATGAAGTTTGCGGTCAAAAAAATCCATTCTATTCTGATGGAGTGAACAGCTGTGGGTATGAAGCTGGCGATCTTCCCCAACTCCAAAGTCAAGCTGTGGGACTGAAGATAATTTCTAAGCTTCTCCTACAAAAAGATCCAGGAGAGGTGAGTATCAGGAAAAAAAAATCCCTTTTTCTGTTGCAGTATTACCTTTCAAAAATTCCTTTTCTGTTGCAGTATTACCTTTCAAAAATTCCTTTTCTGTTGCAGTATTACCTTTCAAAAATCCCTTTTTCTGTAGCAGTATTACCTTTCAAGAATTCCTTTTTCTGTTGCAGTATTACCTTTCAAGAATTCCTTTTTCTGTTGCAGTATTACCTTTCAAGAATTCCTTTTTCTGTTGCAGTATTACCTTTCAAGAATCCCTTTTTCTGTTGCAGTATTACCTTTCAAAAATTCCTTTTCTGTTGCAGTATTACCTTTCAAAAATCCCTTTTTCTGTTGCAGTATTACCTTTCAAAAATCCCTTTTTCTGTTGCAGTATTACCTTTCCAAAATACCTTTTCTGTTGCGGTCATACCTTTCAAAAAATCCTTTCCTATTCCTTTCCTATTGCTGTGTTTCCTTTTAAAAATTCCTTTTCTGTTGGGTCATACCTAAAACAAATTCATTTTCCTTCTATAATCGATTGTTCTCTTTCTTTTTTATAGTTGTTTCCTTTTAAAATGCACTTTTTGTATAGTGCTGTTATGTAATTTCATCTTTTGCACAAGTGGATTTGACGGATTCCTTTCAAATCTTTTACCGTATCATTTACTATTATTATTATTGCTAGTATTATTGTTATTGTGATTGTTGTTATTATTATTATTTTTTTTTATCGTGAAATGAAATACAACAGATATCATCAAATACCCTTTTGTAAGACTTTGTGTAGTTGCAAAGCCAACAGCAACATCTGTATTGTTGTTGTTGTTGTTTTAATTTATAGGGTTTTTCATTCAGAAGTGAATATTTACGCCTCTTCTCTCAGGATTTTTATTCCTTTAAAATTAGATTTACTTTTTTTTATATATAGATTTGGATAAATTGGATTTTTAAAAGCTATGCAATACCAATAGCTAGTCTTAATTCAGACCATTAATTGAAAGCCTATTAATACGACCATAAATAAACCACCAAATCAGCCTTTTTCCTGTAAATTGTAAATACCAGAGTGCTACAATTAACCCTGAAAATAATGCCCTTTAATATTTATATACTGCTTATTCTTAGCAATGTATCAAATACATGTCAAATATATACTTTATATCGAATGGTCTGCACACAAGACTATCAACTTTACACGTGTACACTTTCACTGAGTGAAACTCCATTTCGTTTAGAACAACTAAGAAAACAACCCTAATTTTCATGTCTGCAAAAATCATTCTGAAACCACTTTCACACCAAGCTGTACTGACTTCTTAGCAGGATATACTGTCGAAATAGTGATTGTCTCATTCTGAAATGAGACATTCTGCATGAAAAATTAGAGAGCGAATATTGCAAGATGTCGCCTCTGTGAAACCCAATAGTGCTCTGCCAGTTTTTACATTAATTAGCACATACGAATACGTCGACAACTGTATTACGTAATGGTATCTGCGAATCAAAAAACATAATGAAAATCAGTTTTGTCAGCGATGGTGAACATTTATTGATTATAATGAGACTTTCTAATGAGGTGGTAGGTTCAGTGCACGAAGCACGACTTAAGAACTGTCGGCCGTCAACGTGAACTCTACTCTTGGTGGTTGACGTGTGGGTAGATGCCTGAATTGTGTCAAATTCCCCTTGAGAACCCACTACTATGGGCTTTCAAGAAATCAAGACGGGATGGAGGTAAGGGAGGGGGGGGGGTATAATTGTATTAGATGGGCAGGGGAGGGATATGAGGGATGTTTTATGGTGACAAGAAATTGGTATTTATCCTGCTCATTTTAAAATACATTCGATCATGACTAAACCTCGTTTTCTCTCTTTGCCATTCTAGCGACCATCAGCTCAAGTGGCTGCCAACATCCTGCATCTGCTGTTATGGCAACCATCAGTCAGCAGTCTCCTCCGGCTCTGTCACAGCCAGTCTCAGATGGATAGCGAGCTGTCGGCCTGGATTATCAAGGTACATTTACGATTCAAACCATAAAGTTATGATATCTCCTTGATGGAATTTATCCAAGCCTTCTGGCTTTCAGCATCCACCTGTTTCATAAAACTTGATATCAATAACAAGTTACAAGCTACTGTTATAAGCTACTGAAATCATGGCATCTGATTGGTTGAGAGCAAATTTGTCATAGAAATTTAGCATTTGCTATAGATAACAAGTTTTATGAAATGGGCCCCAGGCCTCTCATCAAAATCATTAGTAACCTTTAATGGAACTCAACCCTTTCCCCTCCTTTTCCAGGTCTCTCTGATGCAGCTGGTGCAAGACCAGGCAGAAAAGACACTCCCTTCGACCCGGGCAGACCCTGGTATTCCCTTGAACCCAGTTGAGAAAGGTCTGTTGGAGACGTTCTTGAAACGTGTCAATTCCGGCCATCTGATCTGTGCCACGCAACACCTTGTCAAAGCGTTTGAACCTCTAGCATTGTTTGCAGTATCATCACTGCCAGTGGGAAGGGAGCAGCTGACAGATCTTTCATCAAATGCAGATCGTTTGTGACCCTTCAGGCTTAACCCTTTAAATACTAAGGGTTTTTAAAAATATTTATTTGTCTAAGCAGAGTTGCCTGTTCAGTTTAACAAATTGCTATCCCTGAGGGCCTTGCACAATAAAAACAACATACATAAAATATTTACAGACTTATAAAGTACGAATTGAACACATAAATAATATAAGAAACAGAGGTTATGAAAACAAAGGTAAATAACATAACAAAAAATATGAATACATTATTGTAAAGTGTAACTAATTATAAACATATGGTATGATCAAAACTTCCGATTTACAAATTATTAAATAGGCTAAATGAATTTAACTTCCTTCTTCAAATCGGCAACTGTGATATTTCCTTCCCTGTTACACCACTTCTACAGTAAGTCATCGTCATCTTCTTCTTCTTTTCCTTTCTTTTCCGTATCCTCTTATATGAATTTTCCATTGTCGCTTTCTACTACTACTACCCATACCTTTTCCCCTCTCAGCCTTTTATCACTCTTCCTCTGTAAATCTCTCCCACTCTTAATTTCAATAAGTTACATTGTATTTGCAAACGTTACTCCTCACCTTTCAGTTTTACTCTCGATTTTTTTCCACCACATACACTTGCTCCATTTACCGCATATTGCTTTACTTTAGTCCTTCTTTCACATGATTTCAGTGGTATTTAATTCAGATTTCTTTCTAATTTATGTTTCCATATGTTGCAATAAGCTATATTTCTCGTATTTATACTGATATATTTTACAAATTCAATATATCATGTTATGCTTTGCTCATTATATTACATCATGTGTTATTATTTTGTTTGTAAACTTTTGTAATTCGGCTAAATGCCGCGAAGAAAGTTTTATTTGAAATAAACCATTTTGAATTGAATTGAATTGAATTGAACCAATTCACATGAAAAGAAGAAGTGTATTTTGATGAAATGGGGAAAGCAGAGCTGCCAACCATTATGTTTTTCCCAGAATTATTCTGTTTTTTTAATCCAAAATACGTTTTTTCTTCATAAAAATTTAAAAATTTAAAAATATATTTATTTATTTAAAACTTTTTTTTTTACATACTGCACATAAAATAATTGCCCTTAATGTTGATTTGATCAAAAATTCAATAGAAAAGTAAGGTTAAAACATACTTGAAGAGGAAAATATTCTAAAAAAGAATGAAACGCTGATAATACCAAAATACCAATATAAAAAATACCTACTTGTAAATAAACTATAGGTCCCAATATGGAAAAAAATCAGCCTGAGAAATGGACATTTCTGCATTGGAATTGTGTCACGCGTGGTTTCGTTTTAATGAATTTCTTTTTTTTGCCATCATGGTTCCTTTTTTGGTCGCACAAGGTTGGCAGCTTTGGGAAAGAGATTGCCATGTTCTGTATGGGAGAATGGTTGCCAAATATCGTGTCTGTAATGTCAACAGGTGATGGAAAGTTGAAAGTATGCAGAACATTATTGATTGTTTTGAATTTGTCCAAATGTGGCCGATTTGAATGCTCTTCCTCCTTGTAAAAACACAAAAGTTTGTGATTCGACAGAATTTGATGCAACTTCTTCAGAAATATCCATAGGTTGTACCATGCATTCGGTGGAGTTTTCTTTTCTTTTTCTTTTTGCCTTTGTTTAATTCAGTGCCATTGATTAGGAGAGTTTGGCCAACCCGGTTCGAGTTGGACACAATATGGCGACTACTGCTTTGTTGGGCAAGCACAAAAAAAATGAATATATGCCATGTTGTGACCCAGTAAAACCGAATTTGCCAAACTCTGTGCATAGATGGCTCTGGTTTAATTATGATTGCAGGGCCCTCAGGGAGAACAGTATTAATAGTGATAGTGCTACCCTGGGTAAATGATATATTATTATTATTTTTATTATTTTTAATCAAGAGTTAGAATATTCCGCAACCTTAAGCTTTTGTGAGTTGTTAATATTGGCTACTTTTGCGGAAAAAACATTTTCATGATATTAAAGAAAGTTTTATGATTTGTGTATATTGTAGCAGGATGGTTACTTTTGCTGCCAAATATATTCATGATTTTGCAGGATGATGATTTGCGATTTGTCCATTTTATGGCATGAAGCTTCCTCAAATTTGGACCTTTAGTGAAGTTTGAAAACTATGTTTGTTTTCCTCTCATGTGCGAACCCTAAATATGATCATTTGTCCTGAGACGGCTAGGTCACCATGTTTTTAAAGGTCGGGTCCATTTGCCTTGTAATGGTAAATGAAAGGTGTGCATGCACAACTTGACTTGAGATATACTGTGTGAGTCAAAAAAAAAGTTTACACCTAGAAAATTGCTAATTATTTAAAAAAATCATCTAACAAGTAGCATAACTCCCGATACTATCTTTCTCTCCCTCCCCCCCCCCCTTCCTTGTCTATGCCCTGTATTCTTTATTTCTTACTTCCTCTCGTAATTGTTATGCATTGCTGCACATTGTATGTCTTGTTATTTTCATTTTATAGAGGACGTCACTTCAAGACCATCCCTTTTCTGTATATACCATGTCATTATTATACATCTAAAGCAGGGCTCAAATTAATTTTTTGTCCACGGGGGCTCTTCCCCCCCCCAAAAAAAAGAGCCCCCGTGAGCCTTCTCACGGGGGCTCTTTTAGTGCTGGCGGGGGCTCTTATTTTAATACAAATTCCCATTAAATTGGTACCCACAAAACTCCTAAATTCCTTGGTATTTTATCATTATCATTTATTTAAGTCGCCTCTTAGAAATCTACTTGTTACATATATGTTATTGACTTTTATCCCCGTGATGACATTCTCTCCATTTCTTCCCGTTCTGCACATAATTTTCTTATTTACATTCTTTCTTTACTTTTAGTCTTTACCATATCCTTCCAAAACACAGGGGCGGATCTAGCTTTTTGCAAAGGGTTTGGGGGGGGGGGGGGGAGTAACCCAAATAAGATGTGGGGCATCGTCCACGAGGCGCGTAGCGGCGAGGCGATTTTTGTTGTTGTTATTTTGAACCCCCGTTAGAGATGTTTTCCTGGCATCTATTGACATCTACTAATACTGTGTAGGTCTGGACACATGATAGCATTTTTCTATGCACATCATATTTTCACTTGGCAGTGACGGCCGCACTAGCTGCACAACGAGCTTCCATTGTTTGTATCGGTAATACTCATAGAGATGGGAGAGATAGCGCCATCTAATATACTCAATATTGTGTTAAAGTTATATCTGAAAAGATAATCTTTATTTTATAATTCCAAGGGGGCGATTTTTAATTTTGCAATCGCCCCCGTGAGCAACCTGACGGGGACGATTATGGAGCTCACGGGGGCGAATCGCCCATCGCCCCTGTGTATTTTGAGCGCTGATCTAAAGTTATAAGATTGTTAATGTATATGTTGGTGTACCGTATATGGAATAAATGAACAACAAATGAAATAAATGTTACCGGTATATGTTTGGCTGAGTAAAATATTAAATTTATTTCCCACAAATGTTTTTATCTCTTCTTTATCCAAATGTTGAGTTTTTCATTATTAGCATAAATTTTCAAAGTCAAGAACAAAACTGGTGAGATTGAGGAGGTCATAAGGTTTAAATGTCACCTACATGATGTTAATATTAAGAAGTATTCAAATTCTAACAAAATCGAAAGAATGTGCCTCAAATTGGCTGTTTTTGTTAACGAATGTGACTTGGGGGGAACCCATGTTATATTAAATGTCGGTTTGCGCTGTGCTTGTACTCGCTTCCACTCCATGTAAGCTGTGTTTTTTCTTTAACCTTTGTAAAAAATTTCAAAATAGGGAGGACAGCAGAAAGGGAACTTTGATTTAAATTACGCAGCCAGTCTCTCATCTCCTTTTGCATATATATATATATATATATATATATATATATATATACACTTTATATATTACATACATGTACATACATATAAACGTTAACTTTATATAATTATGTGTGTGTGTATTAAATAATATTAATTCTCTTACCCATTGAAACTGAAACTGAAACTGTATTAACATTCTAAGGCTACATGTATTTCTTTTTTAAATCGAAACGTTAAAGATAAGCTTGAGTTCTGGTAATGATATAGAAAATATATTCACACATAATCCAGCAAAACTTACACTGGCATGTTCAAGATTTCAAATAAATGACATATGAGCCAAAGGAATTTGGTAAAAAATGTATAGCGACTGAGTAATGAGCATAGCAAGATAAGGAAATCAAGGCAAGTAGGCCCAACACCATGTGCTTAACACAGGTCATATGTGCAAATGAGAGTTGTGGTTTTTTTTATTGAAGATGATTTCCAGCAGGTTTTTGTGAGTTTGTTTTTATTTTACTGGTTAAAAACAAAAATCTACTGCAGGATAAACAATCCAAAATGAATTATAGCCACGTCCGTTCTCTCGACATATGCATGAGTGGTTAACCAGTGGTCTCCTATAACCAGAAGTTCCCTGGGTCAAACTCAAATCGATGCATTTTAATTGCAAGGCATCAATCTGCCATTACTAAAAGTTGATAATTTGCATATTTTCAAAGGTATAGGTTACCGCATCTTCAAAGGTTCAAACCCAATTCGATGCGTCCTGTAATAGGCATCTCTCTTCCATTACTAAATTCTTACGCTAGTTGCCTGTCGAGAAGATTTTTGAATGATATTCTTACGTTCTTCGAAGTTGGCAACAATTAACAACCACAAAAAAGGGGGAAAAGTGCAAAAAGTTGTGTTTAAAAAATGACAGAACGTGATGAAAAGCATGACGCACGTTTGATTGCATCAGATATGCAAACTTGACCTAATTCCAATGGTACAGATTCCCACGAACATCCAAGTACACAGGACACAATTAGTTTAGATTTAATTTACACCTCCACACAATTGGGAACTGCTGTTTGATTATACAGGTTATTGTTCTGATTGTCTCCTGTTTTGTGGCTATCGTTGCTTGACATGTCGAACTAATCGATATTTCAAGTATTGAGATCTGATTGTCAGTTCCTTGTTTTGTGGAGATATCATTCGGTATCGATCAGATCGACCATTCACTTCTATCTCTCGCTTTCCTCTCTGCGTCTCACTCTTTGAAAGAGAGAGAGAGAGAGAGTTTCTCAGCAATTCTCTGAACTTGAAGGTGATATCTGAAGGGGGTGTCCTCAGTGTCTCTCTGATCCTTTCTCTCTCTCTTGATTCCTTCATAGCTGCTCATGCTCTCTGTCTTCCTCTTTGTTTCTCTCTCTCTCTCTCTCCTCTCCCTCTCTCCCTCCTCCTCCCCTCTCTGTCTTCCTCTTTGTTTCTCTCTCTCTTTCTCTCTCTCTCTCTCTCTCTCCCTCCCTCCTCCTCCTCCCCTCTCTGTCTTCCTCTTTGTTCTCTCTCTCTTTCTCTCTCTCTCTCTCTCCCTCCCTCCCTCCTCCCCTCTCTGTCTTCCTCTTTGTTCTCTCTCTCTCTCTCTCTCTCTCTCCCTCTCCCTCCCTCCTCCTCCTCCCCTCTCTGTCTTACCCTCTTTGCTTCTCTCTCTTATGTACACACATATACGCTGAAACATTGATGGAACAGTTCCATGACAAGACTACGACAAATACGATTCAAATCTATTACGTATTTGGATTTTAATTTAATGATTTAAAGAATCACATATTAACCAACCTGACTTTGTAGCCGAAAACTAAACTGATGTTTTTTGATAAATAGCTAACTGCCGTGTTTGAGGACATACATATAATTATCACATTGTTAGGACTCTGAAATGATTTATGGATATTATTTCAATGAAATTCCATGAAATATTCCATACTTAAGTAATATCTGTTGCACATTGATATATTTTGCTCCCTTTCCGATTACGTGTATGGTTCTAATATAACCATATAGTTATAGGTAACGGATGTTTTTGTATTTTGTATGAACTAGTAGAAGATGATTCCTGAAAGGACGATATATGCTATATTAAATCTAAAACTAGTCCACGTACGTATTTGAATAAGGGACAAGGGTGGGGTGGTATTTTGTCCATCCAAACATAATTATTTCCGATAAGAAATGTGCAGCCAACTTTTTTTTTTTAAAGATCCTAGTGGTTTGCAGGTTAGGGAATCTTTTGTAAGACCGTAATTTTAAGATTGGGCCCACTTGGAAATGAGGAAATTTAGAGACATTCTCGACAAGACCTATTGTTCATTCACAATACAACCCTAAAAAGTTGATGTTAGAAAGTAAGGGGGAGGGGTGTATTAAATGGAATAACGAGGGAACAATTCATAAAGAGGAATAGGGATCACTATACATACATATATATATATATATATAGATATATATATATTATATATATATATATATATAGGCCTATGTGTATGCTTACTCGCTTTACTGGCTTACACGGTAGAGAATGTTGCTCTGTGTTACTCCCACAGACTCTAACTTTAACACAATTCCTAATGCCTTGAGCAGAGCCTAGATATTTCAGTCTAAAGCTGTTTTCAGGGTATGTTTCCAGAGCCTATATTGTAGTCTTAAACTACAGACACTGTTACGCACAGCGACTGAGAAGGGTTTGTCCCTGCACACTTGCCCTGTGTGAAGTTTAAATCTTTACATTCCATTTCGTGTTTCCCATGATTGTTTTTTTTCTTCATTATTTTAATTTGACTCTTAAAATGGAAATGCTCATCAACATTTGAATGGCCAGAGGCCCCATTTTTGCAACTTTCATTCAGAGACTCATTTATTGTTAATTGGCTATGCTCACTCATGCTAGAATGGAATGATTCCAATTGCATATCTATAGATGATTAATTTATATTTAGTTTGATATATGAAAGATAAATCTATATTAAATATTCATTTGAAAACCTTAATTAAAAATATTGTTCACTTCCTTTTTTTTGCCGAGTGTACATTATTTATCGTGTGCCTCATTTTGCATTTCCTGTTCGATGTTAATGTTTTCATTAGATTATCATTTATCGATTGTGTACTATGAGAAAACAAATTTCCATGAATTGAATTGAAGTAATATAAGTAAAGTAATATATCTTTCTTCTTCTTCTTCCTCAAATCCTTATGAAATTCATACAAAATTAAGAAGATATACCAACAATCATTACATTTCAATGAAAAAAGTGGGGGTTTTATAAGAATTTGCAAATGAAAGGTATATTGTGCTTTGGGGCGGGGCGTGGAAAGGCACCGCTGTAAATTTTGTAGCTCCTGCCTCCTAAATCATGTAATATGTTTCAAACGCCAATCAAATTTATCGACGTAGATAGTAGGCCTAACCAATCAGCATTCGAAACAACATTCCGGATTGTGTTTTTTTTCGATGTAGAGAGAGAGAGAGAGAGAGATACACACACACGCACACACGCACACACACTCACTCTTGCGCGCGCACAAACACACGCACACATGACACGCACACGCACCCACACGGAAACTTAGAGAGAGGTGGGTAAATGGAGGGAAGGAAAGAAAGAGAAAGACAAATGCACACACAATATGCACACGACACACACATAAACTTAGAGAGAGAAAGTTGATAAATGGAGGGAAGGAAAGAAAGAGAGAGACAGAAAGAGAGAGAGAGAGAGAGAGAGAGAGAGAGAGAGAGAGGAGTGGATGTGTGTGTAAGTGTGTGTGTGTGTGTTGGGAGGGGGTGAGAGGGAAGGAGGGAGAGAGGGAGAAAAAGAGAGTGATACAGAGGGCTTGTTCAGTGCCTTCGTTAGCAGATGAAGCGACACTGCTGTGATCTGCACTGCTGACTCATCACGTGATTACAATCATTTGACCAATGGGAGGCGAAATCGAATCCAGGGCGTGTCTAAAACTCTCAAGTCGCAACTCTTATAACTCTGGTCGACCAACTTGGTCTCACCACTTTTCCTCGATATCGGGGCAGAAACGCACGTACTTTGGAAGAAGAAATATCCACGAACTTCGTAAGGATGATTTCAACCCTGTTCCTCTTTGCCGCGCTGGCTGTTGGAGCACACGCAGGTCTATGGGCGGGGTTCGGTATGTATAAAATACTATATTTCAATTCATTTTCTGCAAGACTGCAACAAAAACTCTTACTTTAACTGTAAACAAGTTTAGGTTCAGGTTCATTAATATCGACCATGTTGATAGAATATTAATTGGAGTTGCTCGTCTTTATAAACAAACACACGAGTTATTGACCCACCTAACAATAGACATCCTTCTTTTGTAATTCATGCTAGTCTAATTATGCGGTAACATTGCAAAATATACTTCAAACTTTTTAAATTCCTTGTTTGAAAGTTGAACCATTTAAAAAATAAGGTAAGCACTATTTTTCATGAGTTTACTATTGTAACTTATACACGATTTAGTGGGCAAAATACAATTGCGTCACCTGGCAAATCGTCTTGCAAGCACATATCGGGATCATAGTTCATCATAATATAAATGCAATATTTTGATATAATGTAGATAAATAGAGGTGTTGTGGTTCTCTGAACTGTGAACCATAAGGTACGGGGTTCATATCCCTGCCACAACTCTAACGTCCTTTGGCAAGACGTTAATCTACATTTGCCACACTCCACCTAGGTGAGTGAAATGAGTATCTGGTACTCTGGTAGGATAATTCCTTGAAATGTATTGTGCGCTGATAACGGCTGCCGGAGCTAAAGCTATAGGGTAATTATTTCCAAAGCTCTGCGGAGCGCATAGGGACGTTATATCCAGGAAGCTATAATCATAATGCGTCATGCGCTATACACGAATAGATTATTATTATTGTTATTATTATGTTAAGACGATTGATTTCGTTTGGAGTACCACTCTCACACTGAGTCAAGACCCGGACAAATTTTGTTTTCTTTATTCGTTGCGTCGAAAATGTTTACTTCAACAATCTTCACAATTTTCACTGATCCGCTTATGACAATGACAGGCTCAAAACAGTGCAAATTGAGGTAGATATTTCAAATGTGTGAGATTCTAAACACAGCTGATCATGATGCATTACATATACCTATAATACTGAGAGGTCACTTTTTTCCAAAAACGAAGGACTTTAAAGGAAGAAGTCCACCCTGATTCCAGTTGATTTTCATAAAACAGAAGAAAATGTCCTCTCCCATTTTTGTATTCATAAGACTTAAATTTCCTTAGTTGTTGATGAAGGAATAGATCTGTTTCATACAGGCGTCGTATTAAAAATATATATGTATAATTATTATAATTATCTAGAGTACATGTACACTGTTGCTCATAAAGTTGGTATATTTTTTTTACCCCAATTTTTGGAATTATTTTGACAATGATTTATTCCTAATAGATCTAGATAATAGTATACATTCTCAAATTTTATTTAATAATAATTTGCAAATAAAAAAAACCCCAAGAAAATGCAATAAATTATCAATAATTCATTGAATTCCCATGCCTTGAGCCATAATGCATGGTCGTACAGAGGGTTTTTTATGTTGGGGACCGGGGTAAAATGCAATGAATTATTGATAATTTATTGCATTTGTTTTATGTGTGGGAACTGCCCCCTACCCTATAGCCCCTGCTGCGTACAATCACGATTCAGTGGCAAAGCAACGGCCTCGTAACTGTGAGGCCCCAGGATCAACACCGTGTCGATGTGCTATATCAGTGCCCTTTTGTGGGGCATTAATCCTCATTACTGTCATTTATGACTTAAGGGCGTAGGTCCCCTAGTTGATAAGCATAGTAGCATACACATGCTTTAGCATTCACGCAAAACACACACTGGCAAATTATCATTTAATACAATCTGAGAATGTATACTATTATCTAGATCTATTTATTAGGAATAAATCATTGTCAAAATAATTCCATGAATTCGGGGTAAAAAAAAAATATTCCAACTTTATGAGCAACAGTGTATAATTAATTTCTTTTTTAAACAAAATATTAATTTCTTATTTTTTTCAAAGTACAGATAATGGGAAAGGACTTTGTAATATACTTTCGTAATATACTTTACAGAGTTGCCAATTTTGATTGATCGATTTCGATCAATAACTTTTTCATTTTGTAGGGTTTTGCTCAAAAGTAGGTCAAGCCATAATGTTTGTCCACCTGACAACAACTAATGTATGCAATTTGGATTCTTTCATTTGAAATAGTATTATTCTTTGCAGTTGAATGAAACAATTTGTATTAAGGCACTTCACAAAACTTATGCATCAAATTTGGTTATAAAAAAAAATAGCCTATAATTGTTGATGTGTTTCTTTGATCTAAATACTAATTCTCTGCATAACTAAAGGAATGCTTATTGTCTGTTAATCAATGAATTTTGAAATTTTCATCAGTACAAACAAGGTAAGATTTCAAGGGCAAAAATGCTGGTACATCTGATCAAAGACAGTCTAGTTGACCGAAGACCCGGGAGGCGTATTTTTTAACCTAACCTTGCCATCATATCGCTGCATTTGATTAGCTCAATAGAAACCATACGTCATGCGCTACAAATATTGATGATACGCACGCACACAGGATCCGATGCGATAATTTATCAAATAATGAGATTTCATACAAAATTTACAAGTGCAAACTATTTTTAATTAAAATGAAAGACATTGCGAGAAAATCGAGTGGCTTACCGTAAACGAATGACCACCCATGTCATAAATTGTCCATTATCATTGCGACATACTGGTTAAGTCGAGAATCTGGCCGATTTAATTTTGATCTCCAACACACCGTATTATTATGAATTATTCTTATATTCAAATATTAATATGCAGGGCAGCGTGGCAAGGTTAGGTTTAAAAAGACGCGCCCGAAAACCATGTGTTAATTATGCACGTGTAAATGCCCGGTGTAAATTAAAGGCCATTTGGGGTACGCCACAATCATGCACATTATTTTTTACTTTAGAACCTTTGGCTTTTACATGTAGTCTTTAATTTTTTGGTTATACTTCTAATCATTATTTTACCTTTGATGAAAACAAAAAGAACGAAAATGCACATCGATTGATAAAAACATGTTTTGTGTCGTTACAGTCCTTCCCAGCATTCCATAGAACAAAAAGACTGGTGTATATCACTTATTTCGGTTTGTCCAAAACTTCCTTGAACTGTTGAGCCTTTTTGGACAACACTGCTTGAATTGTGAGAGGAAATTATGGGCCCGTGTACAAACGAATGGAGACTGTCGCAGCCATCCCGAATTGAGACAACACTTCTGTGCCAGACTTTAAAATCCCCCTCTCTTTCTCTCTCTCCTCTCTCTTTCTCCGTGACTCTCCCTTTATTTTGATCTTGGCTAAGATGTAGACCTTTAATTGGGGCATTCCCATTACTATTCTTGTAAACCCTCCATACCATTTCCAAGTAAATTTGTAAGGGTTTTAGTGTCGCCACCTCCAAACCTCACTAACAGAAAGTTTGATAGTCTATTATTGGAAGGCTATAGTATTCGAATTATTTGAATTGTTCGAGACATTTCGCAAAATAGATACTAAACCTACTAGGTCTGTACATAGCACGATCAAAGAGTTATGCAGTGCTAATAATACATTTAAAAAATACCTGCACAATAAATAAAAACAGATATTAGATAGCTTAGACAGATACCGAGATGTGATTGGTCCAGAGCTCGTCACGTGATATCAATTGCGAGGATCCAAATTGTTATATTTTCCTGGCCGGTTATATTTTACCAGCTGGTGAAATGAATATATATTTATCAATGCATGTCGCCCTCTTGAGGACTGTATGTCACCAATGACACACATATTACACCATTACCGAGGATCATTTTTTTTCTCATGATTTTTTTTCCCCTTGAAATTATTTGTCCCGGCACATTTTTTTTTTTTTCGAATTTTTTTTTTCTCCCAAAAAATGTCCTTTGGGGCACCAATTTTGTTTTCTTTCTCCCTTGAAATTATTTTTTCAATTTTTTTTTGTGCTCTTCTTTTCCTTTTTTGATTGTCCCCGAAAAAAAATAATTAAATTTCGGGCAAAAAAAAAAAATGGACCCCCCCAAAAAAAGTCAAATCAAGGCTATCTTACATAACAGTTATTGACTGGCAGGGGGTATATAACATTCTTTAGACCTGAAGGGAGTTATATTTCCCTCTCGACCATAATTTTCCCTCAGCGCTGCGCGCTTTGGGAAAATATAACCACTTGGGAAATATAAATCCCTTCAGCAGTCCAATAATGTTATATTACACCCCCTGCCAGTCAATAACTGTACAATATAACATATCCTGGACTTGTATTTAAATCATTACATTTTGTTAACTATTGTCTTAAAATGAAGAGCAAGTCCTAATATTAGCAAACTTAGTTCATATAAACAAACCTTCATCACCACGAGCGTTCTTTAAAAACAATTATGGTACCTTTAACATCAGCAAAATTAATGACAACACTTCCACAGCTGCAATAGTACATACCAAAAAAAAAAATGTCATGATGAATGTGTGTGCATTAGGCTCTTTGCAGGGGTGGATCTAGCTTTTTGCTAAGGGGGGGGGGGGTTTGACCCAATGACGATGCGAAGCATCGTCCACGAGCCGCGTAGCGGCGAGGCGATTTCTCTCTTGTGTGCGTTTTTTTTTTTTTTTTTTTCTTGGCGGCCCGAGGGGGGGGGGGGGGGGGGGGGGTTAAACCCCCTAACCCCCCCCCGTAGATCCGCGCCTGCTTTGTTATTAATCATGTTATTGTCTTGTGAACAGGACAATAATGATGTTTATATACCAAGAAATCCAGCCCTCTGATTGGTCGAAATTGCAGTCGTGATTTAAGCCATTCCCGTAAAGAATCGAAAAATGCCAAACTTATGTAATAGTCTAAGAGTAAAATCCCAGCAAAATTTCAGTTACCGGGAAAATATTAAAATCTTGCTGGGATACCCATTGGTTTACGTGTTTAAATGTTCTTTGAAGTTTGAGCGAGCGCGGACACCATACAGTGTTTTTTTTCTGCGATTCCCAACTGATCGAGAATTTCAGCCAATTTTCGTCGGTGATAAACAGACAGCTTCTCAGATTTTCC